ATCTACCTACCTACCTACCTACCCTCTCTCTTTCCCTACCTACCTACTGTGTTTCTCTCTCTTTCTCTCCCTCTCTACCCCTCTATCTACCTACCTATTTTTTTTTAATTTGCCTCTTCAAAACCTTGGTGCGTCTTATACTCTGGTGCATCTTATACTCCGAAAAATACAGTAGTTACTCAAATTATGTTTTTGCACCAGCTGCATTTGCCTTTTATCAGATAATTACTTTGGTTACAGTTCTTCCTCTTGTTCCTCAAAACTGTTCCTACTATCCATTATACACAGAGCCTTGCAACTGAGCTGAATATACCTTCCCCTCCCAATTTTTAAACTCATTATTCATAGTTTCTTTATTCTGGGTTTTACATTACACCAGAACCCCATGTATGCAAAGGGCTGTTTCCATATATTCCTGCATGTCTGTATTCCTCAAATTCAAGTACAGATGGTTACAGTGTTGAAAAAAGTTATTATTTGATTGGCAAGTGCTAATTTATCCTTACACAAGTAACTAATGTTAATTTGCAGCCCAAACTCCAGGGGAAATTTCAACAATTTTCACAGCAACAACAGATTTCTTATTTTATAAAATTACACTAGTAATATGTTTTAAATGGAAATTATTAATAAAGAAGCAAATAAAGTGATGAAACTAGAATCTTCTTAATTGTTAGATCACTTGTAAAAGAATAATATATCAACTAGGTATGATGTAGGTAGACAGAGTTGTTTCAAAGAGCTTTCCTCTGATTGTATTAACTATTTTTACACAGTTAATGTTTGTTATTACTATTATCAGCCCAAGTCAATCCACTGCAGGATGAAGATTCCTTCACTAAAGCTTATGGATCATAACTTGCTATGCTGTTCCAGTGAGGTTGGTAGATAGATTCTTTTCAATTTTCCAGTCGAGGGCTCAAAGAAAATGACTAGGCCAAAGTCACCCAGCCAGGTTTCCCACATAAAACCTGGGTCCTCCGTGTCTTTAGTGTTGCTTCATTTTATGATTTGTTCTGTAGTTAGCTACTTGCTTGTTAACAAATCTGCCACTCATGAGCTTTGATACTCGGCTTTTATCAGTTGCCTTGTGCTAGTTCGCACTTTTCAGATTGATTGTAACACTAAAGGAGGTCTCCAGCAAAGAAGACAATCAGGAGAGGTTCTGGGTACAGTCACATAGTATTTCCAATTCACATATCACATGTCACTTGAAGAAAGATTCCCCAGCAGGGACTGATACAAAGAGCTATAGACTAGGGACACACAACAAGCCGAAAGTGAGTTAATATATGAAACTGTCTTGGCATTTGACCAAGTTAGCAGCGTTGTTATTTAGATATTAAGATCATGCTTTTTGTTTCCTGACAAGTAACAGCTCCTGCCTAGGCATATTTGAGCAGGGAGGGGGAATGGAGAAAGAAAATGTATTACTTGGGTAGAAAATAAATAATGGAATATTTATACTTATATTTAAAATCACAGTGTAGCTATTCTAAAATTTAATGCCGATAGCAAACCTATTTTAAATCCCCATGATAAGTTACTGTTCTTTTATGTTTTTATAGCAATTTCATTTTAGGTTACCATCTACTCTACCATATGCTTTTGTTTCTTTCTTTTTTACATTAGAGCTATATTCATTTTCCTTTCTGAGAAAATTCTAAATTATGTTGAGAGGCACTAAATTAGGCAGTTGCTATCATGATGCATCCCGATCTGGAGGAGGGACCTCATTCCAGAGGGCAGGCATTACTACAGATTAACAAATTAAGGTACTGTGATCCTTCTGGGTTTTACTGAACTCTGACATTGGCCAACTGGGCCCAGAAAAACTGTCAATTTTAGTAAAGAACATTTAAAAAAACCCATCTGTTACTGCACATTTACTTACCCTGTTTCCCCCAAAATAAGACCTCCCTGGATAATAAGCCCAATCAGGCTTTTGAGAGCATGCACTAAAATAGGCCCTCCCCCGAAAATAAACCTTCCTGGAAAATATTGCAACACAGCAGCAGCCATGAGGTGACCGCTTACTGCCTCCTGCACCTCAAAAATAATAAGACCTCCCCAAAAATAAGGCCAAGTACTTATTTCAGGATTCAAAAGAAAATAAGACCCCATCTTATTTTCAGGGCAACACGGTATAAGCAAAGAGACTTATTCTCAAAAATAAACATATTACATTTCAGCCTCCTTTGAATCTTCCCTCAATGTCCAGTAGAATCATATTTTAAAATAGCATTTTCTTCTCCTATATAGATTCTTTGAAAAGCATCCTCTGTCAGATGTTGTTGCTGTCCCTGCATTTGTTAAGGCTATTGCTGATTATAGCAAAAATGAACTGTTCTGCTTTTATATAAACAGGGTTACTTTAGATCTGAACAACTGAGTATGTTCAATTCTTCATCGATCTGTTTACATTAAGTAAAAAAATGAAATTAAAGCATAAAAGAATAAAGAGGGAATGAAAGAAAACAAGCAATTAAAAGAAAACAAGCAATGCAACTTGCTAAATCAGCAACAACACGCTCAAAATTGTAGCTGTTCCTTGAAACAATTATGAATAGCTCAGACTACTAATAATTAGCTCAGAACAGTGAAAACATCCTTCTAATGCTTCTCTGAAAAAATATGGTTCCACCAGCCACTGAACAGCAAGCGTAGAAAGAGTCAATGGATCTTCCTTAGGAAATTATTCCACAACCTTGATGCTAAAATAGAAAAGATCTCCGAAGAATAGAGAAAAAGAAGAGCAGATTCCATATTAAAAGAGAACTTTTTAAATACCTAACCCTGCCACACTATGAGTTTAACATTCTTCAAATCAACACAATAAATTGTGCCAGAAGCAAATTGGCAGCTAAATGAAAATAACATGACATCAGAGTGACATGTTCCAACCTGCATGCTCCGATCAGCAGCCAGGCAGCTGCCTTTTGAACCAAGTTATGCATTAAACACAACTAGGCAAGAAACAATAGTGGCCGGGTGCCCACCTACATTTGCCACAACCATGTCTGGAGCCATAAAGAAGTGCACATCACAATAAAATTGTTACCTTTTTGAAAAGTCGTCCAGAGTCTTCACTGACTTGAACAAACCGAGGGATTATATTGTTCAAATAGATGTCACTCAAAGTAGTGTGGTCCCTGCTCTCTCTCTTCACCTGATTTAAGAGGAGGTTCCAGCAATTGACCGGAGAAAGAACATTCTGATCCTTCCTACAGGAGAAACAAAACCATAATATGACTTTTTTCCCAGTATATTATTTTGCACACTGACATTTTCAAATACAAACATTGATGCAGTTATCAGGGGAGGGAGGGAAAATGTTAGTAAAATATCATTCTGTATTCAAGACATGAATAGACAAACAATCTATAAGAACTGTAAAAAAAAATCTGTAGTTCCCTTGGTATTCATTATTTTTACCTCAAACATATCAAATTAGCTCCTTCCTAGCTTATGTGAAGTCATAACAAGAAAACTGCTAGACACTGAGCGTTCAAAAATAAAAGAATAAAACTGTAATGTAAGAATCAATATGATTAAATACTGATAGGTCTTACAGGACAATGACCTTTACATAGAAGTATCATCAGAGTTTTGTTTGGGTTTGACAATATGGAAAATCAAGAGGTTTATCACTCAGTGAAGAAACACTGAATGACATGCAGGGAGGAAGTTAAAGACCGGCAAGCTGATGACCTTGTGAACTGCAGTTTTCCAGAAAGTGAACACTCAGGGAACAGAAAGTAGTATTGTACTCTTCTCAGAACAGAGCCATGCCCCATTCCCATCATAGCAACCATGAGAATTATCCCATGACAGGATATTACACAAATATACTCAATCATCATTTATCTCAACAGCAAAGAAACAATATTGACAAGAAACTTTTAAATAGAGGTGAGTTTCCAGCATTAACCATCTCTGACCAGCATAAACAATTGTCCTGTGAACTTTTAGGGCATAAATCAATGGATTATTATTATTACTTTTGGACATGGGGGTAAATTTATATGGATTTATGTGGCAGCATCTAAAGTATTTCAGATGCACTACTGTCCAGAATAGCCTCACTCAACCTGATGTCCTCCTGCTGTGATGGACTTTAATTCTCATAATTCAAGGCTACATAATCTTTAGCTAACAGTTGTAAGAGTTGGAGTAGGTGGGAGAAAAGCTTAGGGGGGGAAATCTAAAGTTGCAGATATCAGGCAAAAGATAATGAAAATTTATGACAAAATATTGTCAAATTTTGTCATAAAAATTTATTTTGCCAATATATAAACTGTTATATATATGTAAATGTATACATGACCCTTGTTCAAGAGAAAAGATCTTCCAATTTGGGATGTCAAGCCCAAGTTATAAAGAACACATTGATTATTCTCTCATCTGAAAGCAAATCAAGAATTAGTTACTGCCAACCTAACCATTATAACACTGCTCTTCGACCTGGCATCTAGCAGTTTGAAAACATGCAAATTTGAATAGATAAATAGGTACCACTTCGGTGGAAAGGTGACAGTGTTCCGTGCATCTCGGTGTTCAGCTATGCTGACCACAAGACAATGGAAAATTTATTTCAGACACCACTGGGTCCCTTGGTTAAGAAATGGGCTGAAAGAGAATGACTGTTCCAAAGTCAGCTAGGTGACTTTCATGCCTAAGGCAAGACTAGAACTTTAAGTCTCCTGGTTTCTAGCCTGATGCCTTAACCCAGGGGTGTCAAACTCGCATCGTCACGGCAGCATCACATGACATGTTGTGACTTTTCCCCCCTTCGCTAAACCCCTAAACCAAACTGGATTTTGGTATTTCTTATCTGGATTACCTCATAGAGCTAACAAGTAGCCATTAGTGTGTAGAAAACAGTTACATGTGTTCTATTTCCAGGCCAGATCATAAGCATATCTAATGTATTCACCAATATTATATGCCAGAAGTACCCAACTTGAAACCTAGACTGTCTTTAAATGTCTTGTACAATATATGTCCCAAAATATTTAATTTTAAATTGATCGATTTAAATCCAAATTTTGTCTTCTCACCATTTATTTCCTTGTTCTGATACCATAACGTCTTCAGAATATGCTCCAGAAATAAATATCTCTCTGCCTCTCTCTCTCTATCTCCCTTCCTTCCTCCCTCCCTCTCTCTCCCTCCCCCCCCCATCTCTCTCACACACTTTCTGAGGCACCAATTATTCTACTTTCATAATTAACATTCAATTCCTTATTACTTAGGTATATTTTATATCACATTTCAGTTCACATATTTTTCCCTTGGAGTGCAAATTGAATCCCAGTCTCCTAAATAAGTAAAACATATTCACAAACACATATCTACCAGGCTGCCTCCTTCAGGGTAAGCAATGCAATCCTAATAAATAATACCACTGTACAGGAAAAAAATAACAGTTGTTTCCTACCACAATGATCCTAGAAATATCAGAAATACAAATGAGCTATTATTTCCACAGCAAAATGACACAAACCAAGATTGGACCTATTGTAAGATGCAGGTTAATTTTATTTAAACAAAACAGCAAAATACAAGAATCCATTTTCAAAGTAGCTGAGCTGGCAGAGTTTATTGATGAAAAATGCCACAGGAAGTTTGCAATCTGCATTGCTTCGGGAATTCATATACTGTATAAAGGAAGTAAGACAGTTTGATTCAAAGCAACCATCAGTTCTGGTTGCCCAAAAAAAGTAGCAGGTTCTAGAAGGAGAAATGCATTTATTCTGTGGTCTTGTGTTTGTATGCTGCACAGGAAAGTTGAGACAAAGATCAAAAGGCAGCACCACGGAATGTAACAATGAGCTGGCCATGGAACAACACTCTCTCTTGCATACAAGTATAAAAATAGTAAAAGGTCTGCAGAACTGTATTTATGCTCTTCCATAAAGCATCTGCTAACCCTAACCTGGGGCTCTCAATATACTCTACTTTATCTCAAGTCAGTGCAATCAGGAAGGAATGATGGGGGTGTAGTCCCATTGTATCTGCTGAGATTCAGTTTTGATTAGGTTGACCCTATGGGCTTTGCAATTCTTAAGACATGCTACAAACCTTCAAATGACATTGTACTGGTACAAAAATATACAATGTTGCTTCTTAGGGCAAGTGATTGATTGTTCCTACACAGCAAAAGGCAGGATCTATTTTAGTTGCTGTAATAGCACAGGATTAGTAAGCCTAGGGCAATACAATAGTCAAATACTAAGGGGCACTGTGGGGACCTTACAAATTGCCTACAGGCTATGGATTTCAAACACTAGCCTTCCTGTTACAAAGACTAGGTGCAGCCGTTTGTTTATGAATAGCAGGCAATATCTGCTTGTTCGTTTGTGACCAAATAATTCTTTTCAGCAATCCAAATATAACCAAATTGGTCACACAGAAAAAAAAAATTCTAACCACAGCATAAAGTCAAAAACTATATGCCGAATGGAAAGACAGAATGAAGTGCTTCCGTACCATATCGAAACATTATAGAAATTGTAGGATTACAGAACTGTACCCCTGAACATTAAAAAGAATGAATGTTCTGCTCTTTGCCTCCTCCTCTTCTTCCTTCTGAAAGGGCAGAATTAGAGTAGTATGCACATTTTTCTAGCTGTTCAATCGAAGTGATAAATTGAATAAGGTAATGATTTTAACTCCAGGGAACTGAGATTGTGAATGGCTTATTTGTTACTCTTGAACTATTATTGCATACATTTCCTATTAGAATTACCAAACACTTAGCATTTCCCAACCCCACAACAAGTCTTGCATGTGCACATCACAAACTGGAAGCTCAGATTCCCAGTGCGCACATACATGCCAGGGAGCTGCGCGGAACTCAAAACAGCAACAGGCGATATTGTGGTATTGTGGCGAGCTGATGGCATCCGACACACATGCCATAGGCTTGCCATCACAGCTTTAGTGCATTGGCATCAATTCATATTGTGTAGGAGAAAGCAGTAGTAAATCACTCCTATTTTTTTTACCAAAGAATCACATAGGTAGAAAATATTAAACGATTGATAATATAGTATTGAATGATGACTCCTCAGATGGGATGGCCCTCAAAATTCCAGAATTACAGCTTTCAGGAGATCTAGTTGCTGATACTGCCATATAGAGAAAGAAAGTCTGAAGTTTGCAGCGAGAACCAGGAATATGAGACACTTTCAATCAGAAGATTATACTGTTTACTATTCAGGACATAGAATTCAAAAAGGAATGGCACTGTTTCTATATTTGGGAAGAATGTAGCAAGAACAGTACTTGGCTACAATGAAATCAATGACCAAATAATATCAATAGATTTCATGGGCCTGACCCTTAGTACGATGATTATCCTTGATTTATGCTCCAACCACTGAAGCAGAAGAAGACCAAGCTGATGAGTTTTATGATCAAGTTGATTTTGAAATCAACAAAGCATTCAAGCAAGATGTGCTGCTTATGACTGAAGACTGGAATGCCAAAATTGAAAACATTAAGGATGAAACTGAGGTTGAATTGTATAGTTTAGGAATTGAAACAAAGCAGGAGAATGACTTAACAAGTTTTGCACTCCAATTATTTCTTCACAGCTTATATTGTCTTCAAACTAGTAAAACAATACCTGCATCGACTGATATCACTGGATGCGTATACAGAAATCAAATTGATTATATTATTATTAAAAGGAGGTGGAGGAGCTCAACTATAGCATCAAAGTCAGGGCTAGGTACAGAACATGAACCACTCATGTGCAAGTTCCAAGTTAAGCTAAAGAAGAAAGCCAGTCAGCTTTCCCAATATGATCTTGAACATATATCCATCATTTTCAAGAGGAACATTAGGAATCACTTTGAAGTCCTGAATCTCATCAATAAAGAACCAGAGGAGCAGTGGAATGAACAAGTCATTAAGATGAATATGACACATACAGGTCAGGAAGTCAGAGTATGAACAGAACATGGCAAAACAGGTTGCTTGCAGGTTGGCAAAGTAACCTTTATAGGCTGTATAATAATGTCCTCTCATGTACTCAAACCTACAGTAAATGCTGAATTAAAGGAAGCTGAATGTGGCTTTAAAACTGGACAAAGAAATATACAACGGGTGATATTAGTCTAACAATTGAAAATGAAAGAATCTGTAAACTCTAGTAATAAAAGTCAAGGGGCACAGTTTTAAAAAGGTGCATATAAAGATGGCCAAACTGATAACA